ATGCCAAATGTGTGAAAGTCCTATCTAGAAAATCAAAAAATCCTGCGGGCGCCCTTGCACACATGCCACCCTTATATACTGGCCCTGAATAAAACATATTTCATGCAACCTATATTTTGAGTCGACAAAAAACAGGTTTTAGCAGTGCCATGGCTAATGGGTTGGAGGCCCAACCCCAAAAAATCGTGTGATTTGAATTTCAAAATCTCCCAAATTTTACCATTAGGTTTTGCTAAAATAAAAAGTTCCTTAAATTAGCAAAAGGGCACAAAATTTTCTGCCCCCTTAACCCTCCTCACCTCTCCCCCAAATTAAGGGGTATGGGTAGCCTATCTTTGGTACTGGGTTTTAGGCTTTGTTTTCAATATCACTGATCTCGTGTAGTACTCGTTTTTTACGGACTTACTAAAGAGGAGTGCCTGAAAAAAACGTCCGCCTTGAGTATAGTTTATTTTTACTTGATTAGTCGTTAAATCAAAAAACAGTATATTATGGCTCGACCGGGAACTGTATCTTGAAACCCTTATACAGGCTCAGAATAGGCAGAAATATGAGCAATCTGATTCGCTGATTTTGAAAGAGAGGCATGTGCGCTTCTGTTGCAAAATATAATTAAAATCAAAACAACCAGATTTTCAAAATAAATTTCAAAGTACTGATAAACTTAGTTTATTAATACAAGTCTTATTATTATTAACGCAGGAAATTCATTTTATTTTAGTACTCTCCAGAGTATTTAAAAGGTATCAAAATTTTTTTGTACAAGAGAATTTTCACTCGTAAAAATCTCAAAATTTTTTTGTACAAGAGAGTTTTCACTCGTAAAAATCTCAAAATTTTTTTGTACAAGAGAATTTTCACTCGTAAAAATCTCAAAAATTTTTTGTACAAGAGAATTTTCACTCGTAAAAATCTCAAAATTTCAATAAAGTTTATCTTGGTGATGAATGTTTTATTTGTTGTTAATATAAAGAAATGGAAAAAAAATGTATAGAAATGGAAAAGATCTACGAATGTGTTTCTCTTAAAATATGTCCTTGGCCTAGCTTTAAGGAGATTTTTTTTTTATGTTATGCTTCAACATAACATAAAAAGTTGTTTTAAGGAAACTGATATATTTTTTAATTACATAACAATAATAAAACATCGTCTTAAATCATTAAATACTTTCTCAAAATTTAGATAAAAATTTTGCCAGGCTACATTAACTTATATATAAAAGATGACAATTAGATATTAATTGGAAATAAATACATTTGAAAATTTAACAAAAGAAGTAAAATTCATACGTTTGTCTACTGAACAGTAATTTTTTAAACAGTTACATATAAACACTGACATTAAAAGCAAGAAAAAATATTGAAATCGAATAAGTTAACCAAATAAAAGTGGAATATGGCATCAAAAAATGCAAACGACTGTGGCATTTTTTTAATTGTAATAATTGAAAAAAAAAGATTAAGACTTAAAAAAACCAAACTAAGTGGTTAAAATTAAACATTTTAATTAAAAACGAATAATTAGGAAAGAACAATAAAATTATCAACAACAAAAAAAAAATCAGTAGTCATGTTATGAATATTTTTGTTTTAATAAAATGTGTTTTGTGTGTATAAACTCTTGAAATATTTAACTTGAATTTGTATGTGTGCAATTTTGTAAGATTTCTAAATGTGTTTCTTGTCAAATGTAATGCCCTTGTTCTATAAAGCATGGTCGAAGCAAAGTTTATATGCAGTTGCACCAGACTACTGGTAAAGTACTTAAGGTATGCAAAGTGTAAATTTTTAGCTGAGGCTGTTTTAAGCTCGTTACTGCATCTTTATACCAACGTGTTTATTATAAAGAGTAAAACATTTAAATTTAGACGCAAAAGCTCTCTTGCAAAATCAGCGAATCAGATTGCGCATATCTCTGCCTATTCTGAGCCTGTATAGGGTTTCAAAATATGCGACTGGGAATCGAACACCGATCTGCGTCGCCGCAGTCCACAGCAGCCCAGCGAACACATTAGTTAATTATAATTTAACTTTATAAAAATTAATATTTTGTGCAACAAACGACACAATTGTCTCTAATTTGTGATGTACTTTTGATATTTTGATTTCAATACTTCTTAAAAGACTTGCTATGCTTCTTTGTTTGGAGTGCTAGTTGAGTATTTGGGGATAGCTTAGTGATCTGACATCCATAGAGAGGTTTCTATAGGCTAAAAACGACCCCCCTCCCCCAATGAGGAGGTGTAAATTTTGCATGGCCATACCTTATGTAATTTACAACATTTTTCTATAAAATTTAAAATCAGTTGATAAATTTAAATTTAGTTTAAGATTGTAACGTTGAAAATCTACTACATCAGCGCCCTCACATTGGGCAGGAGGGCAAGCGTTTTTGAGCTTTTTTATTCCAAAGCCTCCGCCATCCCAAATTTTTGCAAGGCCTGATCATTTGGGGTAGGTATGAACGTACTTAAATTTGGAGTTTCCAAATTGTGTAAAAGTGTCCTATCTGAAACATTATCCTTGAACAAAATCCTGCGAGGGCCCATGCTTAGAAAATTGCACCTTGATTTGTTAGTTGGTTTAACTCTTAGAATAAAAGACTTTCCCATTTCTTATTTTTTTACAATTCTAAAGGAATAGCAAAACACACTTATGTACTCTTACTTTGCCAATCAAAACCTTCGTACTTTACTTTAGTAAACATATTTTAGTTTTCAAAGCAAAAAAAGAAAACGGACTAAGGTATGTTTTGAAGGAGGTTTGATAGTAGAAATATACAAAAGAATACTGTAGGAAAAATATTATTTAATAACATAAAAAAAGAAACAACCTTTTCTTTGTTTTTTTAAATTAAGTTTCATTCAGCTAGCTTTTATAATTTATTTATTTTTATAAAAAATAAATAAATTATAAAATATGCAAGTATTAAAAAAAACAAAAAACGCGGATACTCGCAGAAGACCAATTAGGTCTTGTCATCGACAACCGCTCGTAAACTTAAAATATTAAAAAAGCATTGAGCAGCCGTGACACAGTGGGTTGAATTCTGGCTCAGAACCCAGAATTTCGAGGGTTGATCCCGGTTTTTCTTACCAATATAGCCCAATAAGCTATATTGGTATAAAAGAAGGCGTGAAAACAGTTTATATACTTTTCAATAGATGTTTCATTTGATTATTGTTTATTGGCTAGTTCAGAACAAAAATAATAAACTAGGTTAAGTTAACATTTTGGCCTAAACATCATGCTTCAAAAGTACAAAAATATTTTTTGTCATTTTTAATCTTCATTTTTATTTAAAGCCGCAAATATTATTTATTAATTTTTTATTATTATCATAAATCTAAATTAATACCTAAAAATATACTTACGAGAAATTAAGGGATTGGTGTAAAAATCTTTTTAATCGCAAAAAATTTTGAATGAGATATGCGTTAATTCAATTATATTACTCCTTGATTCCCTGTCATATTAATTACAGAAATGTTGCCTGGGGAGGGACCCATAAAAGTAAATTAAAGTCTCTGCAGAAGCGTGTAGCTCGTCTTAATAATTTAAAAGATCGTTTTACTCATGCAAAGCATTTCTAATTTAACGTGAGCATTCTTAATATTTATGAGGTTAATATTTCTAACGTACTTTGTTTTATATTTAAATGCAAAATTAACTCGTGTCCAGTTTCTTCTGAATATTTATATTCATGTAAAGAAAAAACAAACAAATATATATTGCGAAATAACAATTTTATAGGACAACCAAAATTTAAATCAAATATTAGCAAATCTTGTATTCCATTCTGTGGAACATTTATATTACCATTTTAATATTACTCGTTAAAGGAGTTATTATTTCTTTAAAACAAACTAAAAGAAATCATTTTTACGATTGATTACATTTTTCTACATATATACAGAAGATCTAAGAACCGATTATTTGTCAGCAGATGGTGTTGAACAGACTAAAAGTGGTGGAACTCATCAATAGACTCGTCTTTTTTTTCTATTTTATTATTTAGGTGCCCCAAGAAGAACTAACGGTCTTGTCACAGAGCACTAAGATCATTTAGATACAGAAATACGATATCTTAAGCTTTAGATTATTGACTGTTTGTTAAGTCCAAATTGATGTCAGGCGTAAATCAGATGAAGGAAAATACGTTTCTGTTTCAGAGCTTAAAATCTCTGAAATCTTTTAAAACAATTTTCATTTCTTTATTGGATGTTATTAATTACAATTAAAACTTTTCTAAAATTGAAAAACAAACCATTGTTATTAGCTTGCTAGGTCATAGCCATAGTTTGTTTTTCAATTTTAGAAAAAGTTTTAATTCTTTTTTCATCAAATTTTACCTTTCTTTAGCATTAATCTTCATTTTATATCCTTATCATCCAAAATTCTAGCTAGAAATTTGAATAAGGCTGCAATACGAAAATTTGAACACAATATCACAAGTATATTGTAAACATATCCGAATTTCTTTTATAAATATATTATATTCCAAGCAAGTAAGATTGCTTTAACGAGGTAAAAAACATCAAGTTGGAGGGAAATATAACAACAGAACCAAAAGTAATTATAGAACACATAAATCAATACTTTCAATCAGTTTTTGTTTTGTTCAGCAAATGAGCCAAGATTTTAAGATAACAAAGTAAACAAGATTTTAAACAAGCAGTAAACAAGATTTTAAGATCGAAAAGATGTTCAATCGTTATTATTCTATATATCTTGATTTTTATTTATTTAAGAGCAAAATAAATGTAATAAAAAAACAAACTATATTTATAAAAAAATTTTCCTATAGAATCTGCAAAAAATTTCTCATTAAATTTTAAAATTTAAAACAAATTTCTTTAAAGTTACTGCGAAAATCGCTTAACATGTTTACGTTGACAACTTACGTTGATTTGGATTTAAGTCTTTACAATATTACAAAATTTTTTCATTTTTTTCAAAAAGCTTTCACAAGTGAAGCTTTTACAAAAAAAGACACAAATAACTTTTTTATTATTTACAAGAGTATAAATACATGATATTAACTGCAATATACAAATTAATACAATCTAATAAACTTTTAAATACAATTTATAACACACACATTTTATTTGATTAAACATATTTATAACACACGCATTTTATTTGATTATTTAAAATTTCACAAATTTTACAAACTTATTCAAATCAATGAAATGGAATTTTAACGAAATGCAAACAGATTATCATAAAGTGTGCAATTCTTAAGCATAATTTGCTCCATATATTTTAGACGTCGTCTTCGGTCGTAAGAGTTTCGGTCTATACAGAGATATTTAAGAAAAAGTTATTATAATCAAATATAATTCAAATAAAAGTATATGACAAACAAACCTAAATTAAATAGATCTTTATTGAATCAAATTATATATCAATATTTATTAGTTAAATTTCATTTCAATTTAAATTTTTATTATACATATTTTCACTATACAGGCCCGACGACGCCGGGGGAAGGGGGGCACGTGCCCCCCTCCTACTTTTTTTTTATTTTTGTAAAAAATTCTAGATATAGAAGACTTTTTTTTAGAAATAGACGATTAGCCGATATAAAGGTAATAATGAAATTTAGAATTTTACAGCTATTTTGCCATGCCCCCGTTAAACATCCTTAACCGACTACGCAACAATGACAGAATTTAGAAAACCATCAAAATAGTATTATATAATGCGTATAGTATTGGAAGAGTCAACTCGGACGCTATAATGCACGAGGCATTGAAGATGTGCACGCGGTAAGTATTTGAATTTTTTATTTAACTATTAAAAATCTCTGAAATATCTTTGAATCTATTATTATTATCATAAATAATATAACTATAAATATGAATATATTTTTATTTATAAATAGTAAGTATATTTTGTAATTTTTAAATCTGTTTTTAAAGTCATTAAGTTTAATTTTTTAATGTTTTACTTAATGAAACATGTTCTGTATGTGTAGGTGATGTATTGAAATTGTATCTTGACAAGCAGTTAATTATATAAAAGCTGAAGATGACCTTATTTTAGATATAAGTAAGTTGTTTTTTATTGTTTTTGTTAGATATTCAACCATGTTTTAAATTAATCTAATTTTTAGTACAGTGTTATTGTCTGGTGGTGACATTCAAGTTAGATTTTTTTAAAGTTAAATTTAATTTTGAAGGATCTTTCAAATTTACTTCTTAAAAAATCTACGTTTGCTTTTTTTTAGATTCTAATTCAACAAATATTTTCGTACAAAATGTTTAAAGATAAATAACATTTCGATTGTTATTTTAATTTTAGTGCTATAGCTTATCACATATTGTAGGTTTTAAATTCTAACTTATCTTTATCTTCAACTTTAAAGTTTGTATTAATGTATTAACTTTTTTTTTTTTTTTATTTAGGTGCCCTAAGAAGTCCTTACGGTCTTGTCACAGAGCACCGTGGAAGTGCATTTAACCAAGAAGTTCACGCCTCCTTCCTTACCGTGACGCGAAACAAAGTTCGTTTCGAACCTGGATCTTCTGCATATAAAGCAAGCGCTCTAACCACTGCACCATGGCCGCACTTTTATCTTAATGTAATGAATTGCACATTTACTTATAGGCTGTTTAAATAAAATATGTTTGATTTTCTAAGTTGTTATGAAGTTTGAGTTTGTATTTTTCTGTCATGGCCGATGCCATGACAGAAAAATACAAAACTTCATAACAACTTAGAAAATCAAACATATTTTTTAGAAAACCCGACACGGGTTTCAAAGTGGAGGGGCAACTTCTAAAAAACGTCCTCTACATCTAGAATAGGCGATAAGATTTTCCCTTAAATATTAAAGAGAAGGAATTACCCTTACCGAAAGTGAAATGGGAGGAGTTAGAGTTGGCAGTGGAAAATACTTAACTATATCTACAAATTAAAAAAGTTTTTAAATGTTTTTAGTTTAATATTTATATTTTCATTGACCTATTTTTTAAATTTTGTTTGTAAATAAATAAATTTGTCAAAAAGTACAAGTTTTTTCCTTTTAATATTAATATAAATTAATACTAAAAGTTATGTTTATAAAATTTTTTTTTTGAAAAGTTATACATTTTGTTTTTACACTAAACACCATCAAAATTTAAGTCAGCAATTCAAGCAAAATATTAAAATGATTTGAGAGCTGTTGTGACATTGTTTATGTTTCTCCGTTTCAAAATATTATATTGGCATTTAAGATTTTGAGAATACTTTAAATTACAGTAAATTACTTTCTTAATAATCAACAGTTATCACTGAACTAGATATAAATAGGTATCTAATAAATTCTTACAATATGAAAGAAATTAAAAATCATTTTTTCACATCAATTTATTTTTCATGTTTAACTGTAAATATTATGTAATACAAACATTTTAAATTTAGTTGTTATTTTATTTCTTAAGTTCTACTTTGGTGCTCTACCAACTATCATAAGTTTACTTTGTCTACTGTTAAAATATGTTTTTAACTTAGTAAACTTTAATTATTTAAAATTAACTAAGTTGATCATTAGCTAATATTTTAAAAAGAAAGTTTGTTGCAATCAAGGTAAGAGTAATTTTATTCTCTGGTCTCTTTCTAGTAATTTTGTAATTCTGGTCGAATTACAAAACTTGTTTGCACCGATAGCTTTTATGTTTTTGTTATTTTGTGTAACAGCTAATTGTCTTTGCAATAAATTTTTTTTTTTACAAATTTTGACTATTTTTAGCAATGCTAAAAATAGTCAAAATCTGTATAAATAATCTAGAAGAAACATCAGCAACAGGTAAATTTAAAACATCAGCAACAGGTAAATTTAAAAAATCATCAGCAACACGAAAATTTAACAAAACATCAGCAACACGTAAATTTACAAAAACATTAGCAACACGTAAATCTTAAAAATAATATTAGAAATATATTTTTGATTATGTTAATAGTCGAGTACATACTATCAACCTTTTAGTCTGTAAAAATTTGTTAAAAGATCTATTATATTCATTTGGTAAAAATTATTATCAAATTAAAATAAGATTCTTTCACTTTCATCAATATTAATAGCAACTCTGTTAAATCGTTGCAAAACATGCTAACCTAAAGTTTTATCATTGATACAAAATAAACTAAAGGTAACTAAGGTAAAACATACAACATATACTGATTTCCTTCTTTGACCACGATTTCGCATACTTTTGTAGTTCTCCCACATAAGTTTAGCAGAATATATTTTTCCTATTGTCATTTGTTTATTATCTAAAAACAATTATTAGGCATTAATCTTAAAGAATTATCATTATGCAATTAAAATATACTAATAAATACACAATAAAAAAAAACAAAATTCCTTAAAACTCTTTTGCCGTTTTCTCCTTTTCTTACTTTGAGTCTAATAATAAGTTTATTTTATTTAAATTTCAAAACTTTCAATTGAGTCTTGTAATAAACACTATATTTCTACTATTCTGTCATAAGCTTTTAAACAACAACAAAAAAAAAAACAACAGGTAATAAAACTCTGTTGTCATAACTAAAATTTATAATGAAAACAAACGCTGTGATTTATAGTTTATCATCTTAGGCTTCATATTTTAAGTGTATATTTAGAACAAGTTGTTAACCTTTAGGAGTTCTGGGGATAATTAAGTCCAAAGTTCTTTTGGAGATATTTGGAAACTCTTTCTTTAACATTTGACGAAATGCCACATCATTACTTTTTAGATTTGCTAAAACAAAAGAAACTTTATTATAGATATATATACATACATACATATATATATATATATATATATATATATATATATATATATATATATATATATATATATATATATATATATATATATATATATATATATATATATATATATATATACATACATATATACATATATATATATATATATATATATATATATATATATATATATATATATATATATATATATATATATATATATATATATACATACAAAAGAAACTTTATTATAGATATATATACATACATATATATATATATATATATATATATATATATATATATATACATACAAAAGAAACTTTATTATAGATATACATATATATATATATATATATATATATATATATATATATATATATATATATATATATATATATATATATATATATATATATATATATATATATATATATATATATATATATATATATATATATATATATATATATATATATATATATATATATACATACATATATACATATATATATATATATACATACATATATATATATATATATATATATATATATATATATATATATATATATATATATACACATACATATATATATATATATATATATATATATATATATATATATATATATATATATATATATATATATATATATATATATATATAAATATATATATATATATTATTATTATCAAGTAACCACAATTAAGTAGTTTCCTTGTCTGTGGCCTACTAAGCACTAGGGGAGATGAACAAAAAAAAATGAATGATAATAAAATGTATGTATAGCACTAATCACAATATTGATAAAATATATACATATGTATTTTAAAATACATACAAAGTCTAATAAAAAACTAAAAGAACATTAATTAAAGAGTAAAATTTCTCACCATTTTCAGTATAGACTTCAAGACCTGTGCGTACCAAAGCAAAAAACGTTCCATTAAAATCAACTGTGCCATCTTTATACAAAGTCATGTTCATTTTTACTAAACGCTTTAAACATATATTTGTGAATATAATTTTGAAACTTTGAAAAATAACAATAATAAAAAAAGTTATCTTATTTAAAGATGCTTAAAATATATATAAAAAATGTGAATTATAACAATATGGTTTGAAAAAATACCTTGTAAGCCAAAACTTTCAGACATCTCCTACCAAGACCAACTGGTGGTAGCATTTGCCGAAGGAGTTCACACACTTCAGTGTGCTTAATACGACCACTAAAAAAGGATATAGATAGTTTAGATACACACAGAATTTATTTAATTACTTATTTAAAAATTTGAACTACTTAAACTCAAAATTTTGAATTACTTATACTATAAAACTTGGAATATTTAAATTATAAACTTAAATTCAATATAAAAAAGTACAAATATATCTAATATGCAATTACATAGTACAAAATACAAAATGCATTCAGAATTAGACCTTCATTTTATGTTGTCATCTAAATATTAAATCTTTTTAATCTCATACTTTAATTCAATTTTGAGTATTCAATTTTATTTTTAATTTTACTGATTTGATAGCTGATTTGATTAGACATTAAATTTTCAGTCAGATTAAAGTCAGGTGGTTGCTAAGGAGTTCATTACATTTTTTAGCACAACAATTATTGGCAATTAAATTTAACATAAAATAGTAACTAAATATGTTGTCAGAACTAAAGCACTAAATTGTTTAAATAACCATTCTTGATCAGCTTTAAAACTAAGGATTAAGGCAAATGCATAAATATCATTTATTCAGTTATATATATGCATGCATATAATCATCATAAATAACATTTATGTTAAATCCTACTTTTAATATTTATTTTTGAATCTTTTTAAATATATACTGTATAATACATCATATTTATGTATTTATCACTAATTACGTATTGATTTCAAAGTATGACATTTTGTTTATTATATATACATACTGCGTTTTACGATTTTTGTAGATAGTCTTAAGAAAGAAAAGAACAAAGTTTATCTTTAATTCGACTTATTATACATGGCCTTATGAGTAGGATAAAACATTGAATTAAAAAAAAATTACCACAACGAATGAAGTAAGAAACATATTTGTATAAAAAAAAAAAAAAAAAACTACCACAACAATTGAATTAAAAAGCCTCAACAAAAAAATTCTACAGATGATGTTAGACATGCAACAACAACAAATGCATATACAAGCACAAATGACCGAAATGATGAAAGCATTGATGTGATCATAAAATCAAAATAATACATCATTAGTAAATTCAATAAACAACATTAAGATATGATCACTAGAAATAAATCAATCATCCATAGAAGCCGATATCTCAGACAATATGGCAGTGTATACAATGCGGCAGTGGTGTAGTGGTAAGAGCGCTCGCTTTGTAAGCGAGAGGTTCGGAGTTCGACTCCCACCACGTCCCTGGAAGTACCGCGCTCAACTTAGTTTCTCCGCGCAGCGGCCTTGCTTGTCAAGGTTCGTGTTTCGGAGTTAAAGAGTTGAGAGAGGGTTGTACCACGAAATACAACAAAAAAATAAAAAACACAAAAAAATGAGTAGCCTCCTCGACTGTAGTGGCCCCCTCGGGCCTTGGGGAGGTGAATAATGTAAAAAAAAAAAAAAAAAAAAAATAAATCAGTAATTTTCCTTGATGCATGGATAAGGTATAAAGAAATTAAAAAGCTAACCAACCCATGAGATATCTACAACTCACTTGCAGTGCAACAGTTAACAAGATGCTCTTCAATTTTGTTGGTTCAGCAAACCTAAATAATTTTGATGAAGCAGAGCTTCTAGCTCATATTAAATGTTAAATTGATTCAGCTTGAAGTATACAGAAAACAATTCTTCTCAATAAAATAGTCTGACGAAGAAGCAATTACTAATTTTATCTCAAGAATCAAATCATTAGCAATGCTCTGTGATTTTAATGCAAAATATGATTTTTCAACCTACAAATGTACATCGAATTGTTCAGAGGATATAGTTATATCACAATTAGTAGCAGGAATCAACAATCTCACACATCAAAGTGGAGTTCTATCAGAAATTAATTTATTAAGGACATTGCAAAAACTGACCAAATGCCTACTAATAATGCAATCCATTGAAAAGGCATCTCTATATTTTTAACATATAACCAAAAACACAAATAACAGAATAGCTCACCTTAAGTCAAAATATAGAAACACATCACAACATTATTCTATTCTAAAGCCACACCAAAACAAATTGAATTGCAGAGGATGCGGCAGAAGGCCACACCCAGCTTATTTTTACATCAACTAATTATAAATATACCACAATATTTATGATGAATCATTTATTCTTCAAAGATTTATAACAATTGATGTCAGCAATTGAAAGAGAGATAAGTGTTGCAACTATTATATACGTTGTATACGGGTATATAAAAATGAACACTAAGAATATTTTTGGTAATAAATCTCTTTGTTATCCTTAGCATATAAATACTTAGGTGATATTTTAAATAAAAATATTATTTTTAGAATTGATAATACTTGGTATATCACAAGGTTTCTCTAGATTTATGCCACCTTTTGAATTGATGCACTTAATGATATTATGGAGTTATGTTTACGAATATCTTATTGGTAATTGGTAAACCATTCTTTTATAATTTATTTATAATTTTTATTTAAAATATTACATAAAATATGTTAAAAAAATAGATTAATTAAATAAATTGTGAAAAACAAACAAAAGATTATGTCAAGTAAAAGATTGTTTTAAGAAATAAATTTTAGGAAAATATAATCTTTTTCCAATACCAAATTTAGATTTCATTAGTCATTTTTATTAATTTAATTTAAATGATTTTTAACACGGTTTAAAATTAGATTTAATTACGTGGTGCTTTAAAATAGGCTGATAAGGCAATTTAACTTTTAACAATCTAAATATTAAAGCTGTGTTTATTAATGCTATATGTTTTCATGACACAATAATATCTCATCAACTGTCTAAGTATTATGGAATTAACAATTATGGAAATATAAACTGTCTAAGTGTGTAATTCTCAACCAATACTGTGTTAAGAAGATCCTTGAAATACTCAAGTACTTTTAACTAGTGTTAATATTATTAGGTACTTACAATAATAGATGTAATAATCTATCAATCCATCTGATTAAATATATATATATATATATATATATATATATATATATATATATATATATATATATATATATACATATATATATATATATATATACATACATACATACATATATATATATATATATATATATATATATATATATATATATATATATATATATATATATATATATATATATAGTATATATATATATATATATATATATATATATATATATATATATATATATATATATATATATATATATATATATATATATATATATATATATATATATATATATATATATATATTAGGGTGGTCCTTAGAACAACTTTTTTTAAAATGTCTGCTTTCACCCTCTAAATGTATTCTATATGATAAAAGAACACTGGATTTTAAAGTTTTTTTCAATAAAAAATATTATTAGTGGTGCCCCAAGATCCTTAAACATTTAATGAGTCCCTAATATTAATAAGAAAAAAGTTTTTCAAAAGTACATCTTGTTGGGTCTCAAAAAAAGCAAAATTATATAAAAACTTCAAAAATAATCATCATTTTATAAAAAAATTGTTATTTAGATTTTTGTGAACAGAAAATGACGTTTTTTAACTAAAATTGAAAAATAGGGAATTTAACAAGATTTTTCGATTATAAATTTTTTTTTAGAATGTTTTTTTTATAAAATAATGATTATTTTTAAAATTTTTATATAATTTTGCTTCTTTTGAGACCCAACATGATATACTTTTGAAAAACACTTTTTTTAATAATTATAGGGACCCGTTTAAGGGTCTTGGGGCATCACTAAAAATATTATTTTTTCAAAAAATTTTTAATTCTAGTATTATTTTATTATATAGAATACATTTAGAGGGTGAGAGCAAATATTATTAAAATAAGTTGTTTTAAGGACCACCCTAATATATATATATATATATATATATATATATATATATATATATATATATATATATATATATATATATATATATATATATATATATATATATATATATATAATAATAATAATAATAATAATAATAAATTTAGATAAAAATATATAAACTAAAACTTATCTTGATATAAACTTAAGTATAAAATTAAATGCATAAATTAAAAAGAACAATGATTAAGTATTATTTAATATTTGAAACATTACGTGGCTCGTGGATCAAAATCTGACCACACAGTGACTACTTCATCCAAATGATGAGGTCCAAGTATGCTAGAATCTTCAGTAAGGAATGCAAAGTTATCCATAATAACAGCAATAAACAAGTTTAACATCTAAAAAAAGTGTCTAATAGAAACAAAAGTGTAACTAACAAAAACAAAAACTTAAAACTTTAATAAAAGTTTAAAGCTTTTGTTTCAAAGTTAAAATTTTAAAATTTGAAAATTAAAGTTAAATTTTATGCATACAAATTATTAACTGCTAAATAATTTATTTTATGTAGTTGACAGGATAACTTTTTTTTTTTTATTTTATTTAAAATAAATTGTTTATTTTTTAATTGCCAATAACTTTTTTTAACATGCAATAAAATAATTTTATTTTCAATATTATCCATATTTTAGTGCATGTTTTCTTTTCAACCACTTGATCCTTATCACTTGATCCTAATCCAGTGATCCTTATCACTTGTATTTGTCTTGCATTATTGCAATTATTAGAAATTAAAGACGAATTATTAGAAAGTCCTGGAATATTGCCAATGCAGTCAAGGAAGCTACTTTAATTGGGGTTAAAACCCTCTCTCAACTCTTTAAACTCCAAAACACAAACCTTGACAAACAAGGCTGCTGCGCAGAGAAATAAGTTAAGCGCAAAAGTAAAGTGCATTTGACTTCATCTAACGCAAAAATACTTGTATCAGGAATTGTCATAACAAATAACGATAGAACCTTCAAAACACCTCTAAAAATGATGTCAAAAATAACAACTTAAAACTAGCATATTTTATATGAATACTTTATAAGTATAAACTCCAACTCTAATTATATAGGTAAAGGGTACAAATGCTTTATAAATCTGAGCTTTAGCACTTATCTTTTTGTATTAAACTTATTCAAATAAATAGTAATAAGTTATAAGTAATGAATAGTTGAGTAACATAACTAATGCAGTATGAGTAACATAATATATATATAACATAATATAACATAATAAATAGTAACAACTAATGCACTAATGAGTAACATAACTAATTCGTAACTATACAGGTGATTTGTCACAAGCCAAGGAAGGGGCTAAATAGGTCTTTAAAAAAAAAAAAAAAGGTCCGCATATTTTCATTTATAAGTAACTTTCTTTTTTAATTTTTTGTACTTTAGTGTAATAATCAAGTTTATATCGTTTAGTTACGTATAATAGTCAATTTCATTAGTTAGACTAATACTCAATTGGACATTGAGTATAATTGTCAATTTACAAAAGAATATTTTTGAAAAAAGTCCTAAGTAAGAGGGTGGGGGGTGGGGGGTGGGTGAGGGGGGGGGGTGGAGGGGGTGGGGGGGTGGAGGCTACTATTCCTAATCTCCACCCCCCCAAAAAAAAAAAAAACCTGTCACAGTAACTATAAATAGTTCTAAAATTATTAAGAACCAAATGAACTAAATGGTAATAAAATGAATTTGAATAATAATAATAATAATGGTAATAAAAATGAAAATGGTGATTAGTAAAAATGGTAATATAAAACTAATAGCTAAAAAAGAAGAAATTAAATTGTTTAAATAAATATACAAAAAACAAAAAAATGTATTTTCGACATGTTGACCATTGGTTATCATAACATTGATTATCATATCAGCAACTAACATAAAAATTAAACATAAACGCTTAAAAATAAAAAAATTCTCACCAAAAATGTGCAAAAGAAAATAAATGAAATAAAGTATATATAAGCTAAAAATGTTCCACATTTTTCAGAGATTTGGTCATAAGAAGGTAAGTTCTTATCACATAGAGCATCAGCTGTACATGCACGCATAACTCCTGGCCAGTTTTCACCTGTAGCAATTCTGAAAAATTAAATTATAAGTTAAACAATAGTTTGCCCATGGTATTAAATATGCAACAAAATGGTATAAACATGCAACATTATTAACTTTAAAAATGATTTAATTACCTAAACAAAACTTGAGTTGAGCTAAAGTAGCTTCGAAAATGGTTGTCTGCATTTATATTGTTATATGGCTCAGCAGGATTATCAAGTGAAATTTGAGAGAAAACCTGAAAAAAAAATTTTTTTAAAATAGCTTCAAAAATGGTTGTCTGCATTTATATTGTTGTATGGATCAACAGGATTATCAAGTGAAATTTGAGAGAAAACCTGAAAAAAAAATTTATTAGGCGTATTAATTTTATTTTTGTTAAGTTATTTGATAGTCATTTAAAAAACAATTATCAGTATAAATACTGCACATAATAACTGCATAAATTATCATAATCATTACAAACTTATTTTAGGTTAAAACCTTAAAATGCAAATTTTTAAAAGCTTATGTTCCTCCTTGTTGACTAAATAAAATTGTTGATAACTTGAATCTTTTCCTCTGTTCATATCATAAATCTAATGACACTTTTTAACACTCTAGAAAAAGAGTTTAATCCAAATGGTCTCTGCGGTTTTATTTTTTAAGAACTCTGGAGATAGCTGTACATTTTCTATAGCCAAACAAGTCTTGTCTCTTTAGCCAAAGTCAAGTCTTGTTATCATTATGAGTAAGTACAAGTCTTAATTAAGTCTATTAAAAATTTTATTTAGAAAGAATTTATGTCTTTAATTAGTTAAGTTATATTATATTATATCGAGTCAATCTACAATCTCCTACAAAAGTTTAGAATCAATTTAGTATATTTTAGGTAAACCCATATTTTATTGAAAATGACATAAACAAATAACAAACACAAAGCAAAGATTTAATTTGTTATATACATATACATATATGCATACAACATAAATTAAATCTTAGCTTTGTTTATGTCATATGTGTACGTCATTTTCAATAAATTATGGATCTACCTAAAAAATAATAAACTGATTCTAAACCTTTGCAAGAGATAGTACATAAAATTCAATTTTCTTGTTCTACTATAGATTTCCTAACAGTTATAACCAAAAGGTTTTATCATGCATTAGATGTGATCTCTCTTTTGTAAGAGGTTTGGGTTTGCAGTTGTAGGTAAATTTTCACTCAAACAAAACACTTATTTTATAGTTATTAATTTGTAATCACAATAATGTTATTTCTATTTAAATGAGTTTTAAATAGAAAGAAGGTTTTACATCTTTTTAGATTATTTTTAATTGGATTACTGAGCTCTAATAAAAACCATATAAACAACTGCTCTCAAGTTAACTGCTTGAGTTGTCTTTTTATAGTTGTTGGAATTTTATAATTTTTGACTAGGTATAATTTCAAATTTTTTCTTTATTTTTATCCATAACTATATAAAATGTATAACTATATAACCATATACCTACTTAAAAACCCCATCTTTGAATAAAATACTGTTTTCATAGTTAAATTTATTAGTTAGTTGTTCTAATAATGCTCTTTATTATTTAAAAAAGACATTACAAGCTTGAGCTCCTATCCTATATTTATAAGGTTAAAGCACTTTTATATATTTTTTAAATTTATTTAGTCATGTTAACTAGCTGGCTTAGAGTTGCTCAACTTAATTTTTTGCTTATGCGACACAATGATCGCAAAAAGTGACCAACGGAGCCGTCCAGTTACGTAGACCTGGGAGATGCGAAAATAAAAACAGATTGAAGATGATGTCATTTAGGTAAAAAAACATAAATTAATGCAAAGACTATTTAGTTGGAAGAGTAAAAGTTAGCAACTCAGGAAAAAGGGAATAAAAACTCACACCCCAGTCATCTTTTAACAAATGATGAAATAATGATCTATGAGTAAACAAGTCAATAAAAATCCGCTGGTTTATAATGGTATTCATAAATAAAATAATCGCACCACACAAGTGTCTAATAAATGTGGTACTATATATGTTCTAATTTCTAGATAAAAAATTGATAACTGATAATCACCTGTGTAACATAAAAAATATATAAATGTTGTTAATGTAACGAATTCATAATAAAAAGCTCACAAAGCGCAAAAATACATGGGTTTAAGAGGTAAAAAAATGTTGGTGCCATAATGGAAGTACCGTGCTCAACTTAATTTTTCCGCTGCTCGGAGAAAATAAGTTGAGCACGGTACTTCCAGGGACGTGGTGGGAGTCGAACTCTAACGATATATATTAGCTATAACAATTTAGTTGCCTACGTTAAAAAGAACACAGCAAAGTATAAACAAAATTTTGTTTTTAAAAGAAATTATTTAAATAAACTTATTACTTTGTTATACTAATTATATATAAGTATTGAATTTTAAACATAGGTTTATTTTGAGAGTTTAATTTTGTTAGTTTGTAACAGGTATTTTTAACCATAGTTGGAAATGGAGTTTAAAATATTTAAATTTTTCATTTTACAAATTTTTATTTAGTATAAATTGTAAAAACTTTTAAATTTTTTTAGAGTTGAATAAACTCTAAAAAAATAGTGACACGAATAGCCAAGCACAGATTTAATTGTATTAAATGTAGTGACCAAATAAAAAACAAGTATTTAAATGAAGTTCCCTTAAAACAAAAAGAAGTTCAAACTGGTTTAATAATAAAAGAAGCTGTTCCTGAAAATTTAGTTGCTCAAGAAGGAAAAGCACGGAAAAAAATATACTTGTCATCTACTACATTGCAAACCCCAGTTGAGTCATTCTTTTATAATTTGAATTCCTGTGAAAGCCAAAGTAGGTCTACAACCTCAAGAATTGAAAATTTTAAACAGAATAAGAATTGGAATGGATTCCCTTAAAACTACTATATTCTTTAACAAGAGTTCAGAAAAATGATATTGCAACCTATATTTTCTCCGACAAAATGACTAATGAACAAATATTTAATTAAGTATTTAAAGTATTTAATTTAGTTATTATGTAATTTAGTTATTAAAAATATTGATTGCATTGATTAGTCCAGCAATGATAAAGTACATAAAGAAAAAGTAAAATGAAAAATAACTTCAAATAAAAATCATAATGTAAAACTTTACAGGATGAATCACAAATGGATTTAGCACGCACTGTCTATGGTAATGGATGCTCATTGAGACTTTTTGATAAAAAGTTGTGACTCAATTTATCAATATAAGTTCTGATTTGTGCCCTAGATATTCATAATTTTAAACTAAATAAATAATATAACCAAGTGAATAATTTAGAACTTGAATAAATTAGAATTTGTATAATGTGTACAAATTAAAATTTGAATGGACAACAATTAAAAAACAAATTAATAAATAATATGCAAATAAACCAATTTATCTATTAATTAGTTAGTAAATGGATTACTGATTACTGTATTTTACTAATTGCAGGAATGAAGGAATTATTAATTTTATTAAGTTATTAAAACCAATAGCCATAACAATTACAGCTATTGAAGGAGATAAAACAAGTCTCTCCATTGTGGCCAAAACTTTTTCCAATTTAGAAAAATCTCTTCAGGACAATATTCTTTGCAACCAAATACTAAAAAACAAAGAAAATGCTATGATGGAAATAACTGCCAGAAAAAGAAAATTTCACATACAAAACATTCACTTGGCTGCAAATTTAGTGGATCCATAATATAAAGGATGTCATATATCTGGAGATGAAACAGTGTGTTTATAAATATTTAATCTTTATTTGAGTTTTTTTTATACTGAAAAAATCAAAAAACTTTTTGAAAGTTATAATATTTAACTTTTTTACATTTATAATGAATTATTAATTGATTAAAAACATCTGTTTTAGATTGATGCTATTGAAACCATTCATAATTTAGGAAAACTGGATCCTTCGATAAAGGACTGTGATGACAAAATTTTGGGTGAGATTGCTGACTATAGATCTAAAGAGGGGCTTTTTTTAAAACCTTTTATATAGGCTTCAGTAAAACACACAACTCCTGCAAGTTAGTGGAAGAGAATATATTGTTCATGCGCTCCAATATTGTCAAGTATTGGAAGTAAAATTCTATTACTTCCACCAACAAGTATGGCAGTCAAAAGAACATTTAGTCAATAATCTTGGATCCACAATCAAAAACCAAATAGATTACCAAATGATCGAACATCAAAATTAGTTTTTATTTCCCACAATTTAGAAAATCAAAAATCAAAAATGTGATACAGAATCATCAACAACTCAAAGCCAAAAATTTAATCTAGGCAATTTTACAGAGTTTAGAGGAAAACATATTAAGTGACTCTGATGAATCCGTATTCAACTTCTCAATTGATAACTTTACTGAACAATTTAGGATTAAATTAAAATTTAGAAAATAACCTGATGTATAAAAAACAACTATTTATTAAACTTGTATTGACTATTAAGACTATGTTAAATTATCTAAATTATATTATAAACATAACTTTTTTTTTTTTTTTTTAAATCTTTAATTAAAAAAAAAACTCAAAAAAAACACCTTTTTTTTTGCAAAAAAAAAAAAACACAATAAAAAAAGCGATTTTTTTTGCAACTCTGAGCTGGCTGGACCCACTAAATGCAGTTACAATTCTATTCTACAAGGTCTAGTCAACACCATATCTCTACTTATTCCTTATTTACTTTTTTATTATATATTTATATGAACATTTTTTAGTAAACTGTAGAAAAACAATTTATTTAAAAATTTTTCTTAGAGAAAAAAAACTAATATGTGCACTTTTACTGCTACTTTGAGCTTGTTAGAACCCTCAACCTGCTTTTTTCTTTTGAAAGATAAAGTCTGAACTTAAATATATTCCCACTTTAAGGAAGATTGTCTTTTTACAGCGTTAGGATGTTATTTTACCACTTTGAATGTTATTTTATCTGATGAATTTATTATTTTACCAATTGGAATGCTTAATCTTTAACTATCATCAAGACTGATCATTTTGTGGGGTTCCAGTTAAACAAAAACCAAAATCAATTTTTTTTTTACATTTTTCTAGTGTGTTCTTTTTTTTGAAGCCAGTCAATGTAAGTACATTCAATTAAATCAATTGATGGATTGAAAAAAAAGCAAACAAACACTTTTTGCTTTGTAAAAAAAATTGATCATTAATAAACAGTGGAAATTTATCATTCAATAATTATATCATAAATATTATTATTAAACAGTGGAAACTCGTCAACAAATTCTGATCCAACTTATGTTATATATAATAATTATATACAATAAATTCTGATCCAACTTATGTTATAACTAATAGTTTTTAAAATAATAGTCTTTAAAAGTCTTTTACACAACGCAACAACTTTTTCCAGATGTTCTATTGACATTGTCACTTAATGCATAACCAACTGACGATTGCAAAGAAACAAGACCAGGATCTATTGGTACAAAACAAAACACTTTGTCGTATTTTAGTTTTTATAATTATTTGTAAAAAATTATGTGGCTACCTCCAGAAACAAAACATTAAAGGCAAGTTTAATATTCCAAAGAAAAGTTAAAAATTGAAAATTTTACTTCAATGGCATAATCAAAAAAATCATTTTGTTAAAAATAAATAAATAATAATAATAAGTAATTAAAAAGTTTTTTTGTCATTCTAAATATTTTATTGACTTTAAAATTTACCATAATTTTATATTTTTATTAATATTTATATATATTTTAATAATTAGATATTGTAAAAGTTATTGAAAAAATATTTTTTAACATTCATAAAAAAATTGTGATTATGTTTTATTTCACTAATAGTTTTGACAAACTACATAAAAACAAAAAAAAAATTTTAATTTAAAAAAAGTATTGACTTTACTTTTGAATGTTAAAAACATTAAAAAATTTGAAGTATTTAAAAGTTTAAAAAGGCTTGAATTTAGTTTTAAAAGTTTTGAATGTTTTAATTATATCAGCGGCATTTGCTTTTTTTTACATTTCTAACCTTTAAAATGGCTATAGACGTTTAAATATGTACGCTCAATTATTATATCATTATTTATATTATATAATATCAATACCATTATTTAAATATGTATGCTCAAACTCCACTGCCTCTATCCTTGTTTATTTCAGTATATGTATGAATAATACACTGCGACTACCTCTATATTAGTTGTATGTTTTGCATTGGTACACTTATTCTATGAAACTTTAAAGCATAAAAACAATAAATATGTATCATTTTTAACAATAAAAATAAAATAAATAAAAATGCTACCTAATAAGTTAGACTTTATGACATCTAAAGAGCTAGACCGTTTTTAGTTTAGAATCACTTCTGATTGTTTTTAGCTAATGTTAAATTTATTTGCTGCAGCTATTCAAATGTTTATATTGTTTAATTTTTTACAAAACTCTCGTTTGCTAAGATCCTCCAAAGATAACTTCAATAAAAATCATTCTTTTATTTTTTAATTTTCATTAAAAGTGGTCTACAACTGTTTCCCCATATCTTTAAATGTTTTTCCTGTTTAAATTTTTTTTTTTTTAATGAAATGTTTAATATTCCGATAAACCTCCCATTTATTAAAATTTCTCTGTTTCTTAGATTTTATAATTATATTTCTGACCCTCCTGTTTATTAAGCTCACCTCATTTATCAGGCAGGTGAGAGCAAAAGATTGTTGTATCTTTTTCAAACATACTTTAAAAGTAGAATCAGAATTAATTGATGAATTTCAACTGTTTAATAATATTTAATATTAGCAATGATAATTCAAATCCAAAAGCTTTATTATTACAATAAACATTTTACCACAAAATAAAAAAATAAAAAACACATAAAAATAAAAGTCAATAAAATTCAAAATAAATATTTTTTAAATTTTTATTCTTTTAAGCGTTAAGTGGTCAATAACTCTTTTTTTACAATATATTATTTTTACTATATACTTATTTAATATATACTTACTATATTTAATTGCATTGAAAAAGTAGAGTTTTCTTTGTTTGGTACTTTATTTTGAAAAAAAATAAAAATACAAAATAACAACTATAAAGTGGAACTTTAGTTCAGAAAATTTTTTCAAGATATCAAATTTCTTGGTGGAAAATTCATTGTTTTGATAGATGCATTTTGTAAACTAGTGATGAGATTTAATAAAAAATAATTTTATGAACTCAAGCAATACAAAAGTAGCTGAGAGCAAAAAAAAAAAAAAAGCAATGAAAAAGCAGCTGAGTAGATGAGAAGAATACAAAGAATAATAAATGAATCTAAGAATTAGGACTAAAACATAGTAATAAATCAGAGAAAGCTGTTAGCTCTTTTAAATTTTTTATTAAAAGGACTCAGCTGATTATTCCAAACTAGGTTTTTTTCAAAATATACTCCATTGTAGTTCAAATATTTTGATGGAAGAATTTCTTTATCTGATTTGAAATATAATGGATGAAAAATGATGTATCCAAATTTTTATCCATTCAAGAAAATATGATTTTTAGTTAAATATAAACATAAACCATAAACCATAAAAAAAAACAATTATCGAGTTACCAAAAAAACCATTATTGAGTTACCAGCATAACGATTTGTTGCAAAACTTATTGGTAAACAAAATAAATAATTTAAATATATTAAAAGATATAATGGCTTCAGAGCCAAGCTGTGCAAAACACTAGATTTTGAAACTATCTGTGTACAATTCCTGAATGATAAAAAATTGTCAGCATTTTTCTATATTATGTTGTAATTTGTAACTTTTTTATAAGAATGTTGTGCTCAACTGTAACAAACTTTTTAAAGGTTGAAGTGAGTGATGAACACTCCAAAAGCAAAAGAACGACAGTTGGTTGCACTACAAATCATTATAGTATTCCTAATAAGAATGTTTTAAGCAAAACCAAAACTGTCAAAGATGCAAACACGCAAAATTGTATAAAAATTTTAAAATGAAATGTTTTTACTTTTTTTTTTTTTTAAATGAGTTTTCTAAAAAATTTGCTGAGATTTGATTGCAGTGAAATTAAAAAAAAGTTAGTCTATTGCACTAACTATTGCAGTTAAGTTCTGAGTTTTAGAGTTGTTAGAATATAAGTAGAATAAATACAAGTTAAATCATAAAAAAATACTTAATAAATTTGTAATACAATTCCAAAATATTGCAAAGATTTCAAAATATTTGCATTATCAAAACAGAATATTGAATAAAAAATAACTTTTTACACAACAGATAAGTGTATAAAGTAAGTTTCTACAAGTTTATAACATTTTTTGTTGTAAGGTTTTTTAGAAATTATTAAAATATTGTGTGTTCTGTTTCAATGAACTTTAGGGTTCTGTGTGTAACCCATGAGACCCCTTAATCAAGCAGTGATTGTTAACATTTTTAAAGATTGTTAACATTTTTTAAGTGTTGTTAACATTTTTAAAGATGCATGTTTTTTTTCTCAAATGTTAATGCTTTAAAACTCAAAATCATTCAAAAAAAAAAAATTAATGCTTTGAAACTCACATCTTATTTTCTTAACTTTTCAAAAATACTAAAGCAAGCAGACAAAAATGGCATGCGATCGAATGCTGTAACTGACCACACTTATATATTTTTTTTCTTTACAATTTGACCACAGCACTTTTGATGTTTTAACAATTTAAATACTACGAAAAAAAAATTAAAGGCTTAAACAAAATAAAAAATTAATTATAGTAATTGTTTAAAATAAATGCATTTTGTGTAAATTAACAAATTATGTTATACTTAAATTTTTTTTATGTAGGCATGTATTTTGTAATAGAATTATTTAATTGCTTTATTTTTTTTGCTTCTATTTCATAATAAATTGTTAAAAACTCTTTTTTTTAAAACTTGACTAACTAATCAGAGCATGAAATAGTTAAAAATTCTTGTTAATTATTAAAAAATATTTATTATTAAATAATTAAAAATGACCAAAACTCAGTCCTGCATTACTCATCATTCAGCAAAGTTGTATCCTTTTACTGTATCTGTTCCATCATAGTCTGAAAAATTTTATTCATCTAGTTTTTTCTCTTTGAACATCAATGTAATTCTTCCGTGTGTTTATGTTTTCCTGACTCATCAACTTACATTTTTTTAATTCTTCTGAAAATTGATTCCATGCTCTTTAAAAATTTTTTTTGCTTCTGGTAACTTTCAACTTTAAAAGTGGTTGCTAGAGTAATTAGCTTGTTAAGAGTAAATTAGTTTTATAAAAGACAATGTTATATGCACGTGATAAAAACTTGTAAAAAACTGTTGCATTTAAGACAAATGTGAATCACAGAATTGTATAAGTCAACGCTTTAGCAACAATTGGGTAATAAATCATATATGCATATATCTATCAATACTATCAATGTATCTATGTTCTTTCTGTTGTGGTTACCAACTTATTTAAATATAAAGTCATGTATAAAGTAAGCTTCAGAACAGTTATAGTCAAGACTAAAACTAATTCGAAAGTAAAATTTACAAACAAAATTTTGAAAATTTATTAATTTTGAATTTTTTAAATTTTATTTGTAAATTTTAAATTAAAAAAGAAAAAAGAACTTGAATTTATTAAAAATAATGGAATAATTATTACTTATACAAATAACAAAAAAGTAAGTTAAAACAATACATTTTTTAAAATCTAAAAAAATATGTAAGTTAAAACAAATTTAAAATAACAAAATAAAATTTTTAATTACTTAAAGATAAAAAATTTACCTGCATTCCAATGATAGCATATACAAAAAACAATAGAAAAATAAGCATACCAACATAAGGCAATGCCTAAATTATAAATTAAAAACAATTACTTCTATAACAAATAAACAATTACAAAAAAAAATAATGATAGTTTAATAAAAATAGAGGAAAACTTTAGTAAAAAAAAATAAAATCTCAAAAAACTTAAGTTTACCTGAAATGACTTTAAAAACGTCCAAAGTAAAATTCGTAACGAACGACTTCTTCTAAGTAACTTAATCAATCTTAATGCACGAAACAAACGAAAAATGCTTGTGTCAAATTTTACTTGTTTCTATCATTAAAACAAATGACAAAAAAAATTAAAAATCATATAAAATCATTAACATTATAAAAAAGTGAAAGTTTGAATATATATATATATATATATATATATATATATATATATATATATATATATATATATATATATATATATATATATATATATATATATATATATATATATATATATATTAGGGTACATCATACTTCCAAACTTTTGATTTTCAATTTGGTGGATCATTTTTATAGTGCCACTATATGTGAATAATAAGATAGGGAAAAAAAACAGTTTAAAACTAATTTTTGCCAATGTGGGGTTGCATTTTTTGCATTGATTAAAGCATTATTACAAGGAGGAAGGGGAAGGGGTGTCGTCTTTTTAAACTATTGAAATCTTAAACTCTATAAAATTATTTTTTTTGACCTTATTTAATAAAATGCGAATATTTTTTTTTTTTGAAAAAAAAAATTTATTGGTATGTAGGGAGTTTAAAAAAGGTTTTACTCAAGTTCTTTGATTTGAAAGTTTTTTTTTTAACTTTTTTTTTAATATAGAGACAAATTGAAGTGTTAATATAGAGACATAGAAATTGAATATTATTAGGGGCTTTTATTTGAGCTTTACAGTTTATTAAATAGATAAACACAAATAACTCAAAATAAATCAAAATATTAAAACTGTTTTAATTTTGAGCGCATTGTAATGGGAAAATGATATACTTTTAAAAAAAAGTCAATTTGTTATTTGAAATGTATTTTTCTTTAGTTATTTTTTTATTTACAATTTTGTTAAAAAAAGTTTACTAAAATTTTTTTTGAATTAAGGGTAAAGTTTTTATTTTAGCTCTCACAAAACCCCAAATGGAAAACTGCTGTTTCAGTAGCCTCTTGAAATGGAAACTGCTGCTTCAGTAACCTATTTTACAACATGCATGTGTTTAAAATTAAGTTTGTATAGATTGTATGTACGGATTTGGCTTGTAAACACTAGTTACAATATTATTTTCTTCTCCCAATCTTTTTGCTCTTTGATAGAAATAGCTAATGTATTAAACAAAAATTTTTTTTTTGACCTTATAGTTGTATCTCTTAATGCAGTTTTTCATTATGCCTTTAATTGTCCTAATGGAATATGTTCATGAGTCTTCATTTGAGCTTGAAAAAAAGATTAAAATCAATTTTTTCAAGAAGGAAAAAATAAATTTCGTTTCAAATGCATTGTGTGGCAACAACTTGAACTTCATTATCTTGTCTTTTCAGTAGTTGCAATAATGTTAGTATGTGATTTAAGCCATCTCCAATACTGTTTTTCATTTTTAGACCAATTGTGGAAATATACTTGAACTAACCATTTAACAATTAAAAGAAATATTCAAAGAATGCCATCTGTAAAACATCTGATCACTCATATATAGATAAATGATAGTTTCTGCTGTTGTAAACCATCTGCTGTGGCAAATATTTCCAAAATTTCTTGCCTGTACTAACTTATAACAGAGAGCTTTATGTCAACATTTTTTTTAACATTTAAAGATTTTTTGAAAACAAATGTTATTTTTTCTGCAGTTTGTGTTTTTTCAATAAAGAAATCTTTTTCTAATAAAAAAAATTATAAAATTATGTTTTAGAGGTTTTGTATAGAAAATGTCACTTACCTCTGGGTCATTAAATATTACAGTAAAAAATAATTTTTACTATTGGAAAAATCATTTGAAATGTCCAAAAAATACAAAAACTTTACCATAGATTACTGGAAAGCTATAAAAAGCTATAAAAATTTAAGTTTAAAGTCAATTTTATATTATATATATAAAATATATGCAAGGGGGGATCGTTAGTTTGTGTATGGAGTGGGGATAGGTGCAATCACTATGAGACATACTAATTAGTGACTAATCATTAATATAGAAATTTTTATTTCAGCTCTGACGCATCATTCTTTTATGAACAATCGCCTGCTAAACAAGTCAATTCGGAAGAAAACTGAAACTTTTGAGAAAATTGAACAATGTGCTGTGATAAAATTCCTTACCAAGCAAGGAAAGAATGCTCAGACCATTTTAAATTAAATGCTAACTATTTATGGAAAAAAATACCCTAGTAAATCAATGATTTACAAGTGGCATGGTTTTTTTAAACATTATTGGGAGTTAATTGAAGATGATCCCCACTCAAGAAAGCCAGTTAAGGCCAGCACATCAGACTTGGTTGAAAAAGTGGGAAAAAATGTACTGAAGAACACCCATTTGGATAAAAAAAAATTACCTGCATTAGTTTGAGTATCAGATACCACCATTTTATAAATCCTGCATAACCACCTGAGCATGACAAAAGTCAGTGCAAGATAAGTACCAAGAATGCTCATGCCTCTTTAGAAACAGCAGCACATTGATGCAGCAAAACAATTTTTGGAATTGTGTAGAGTCGAACCTGGACAGATTTTAGAATGGATTGTTACTGGAGATGAAACATGGGTTTATCACTTTGAAACTAAGTTCAAACAAGAGTCCATGCAATGGCATAAAAAGGGGACACCACCGCCAAAAAAATTCAGAGTGTTGGAGTTGGCTGGAAAGTTGATGACTACTGTTTTTTGGGATTGTGAGGAGATATTATTCATTGACTACAAAGAAAAGGGAAGGAACATAACCGGAAAATACAATGCAATGATATTAGAAAAATTAAAAAGAGGTATCAAGGAAAAACGTTGAGGAAAATTTACCAATAGCGTGTTGCTCTTGCAAGTTAACATACCAGTTCGCAAGAGCAGAGTTGCAATCGTTGCTCTACACACACATGGCTTCGAATCGCTGGTACACCCACACTACAGTCCAAATCTAGCGCCAAGTGATTTTTATTTGTTCTCTAATTTGAAAGAAGACTTATCGAGAAGAAATTTTCCAATGACAATGAGGTAAAGGAGGCAATTTCAGCGCATTTTCAAGCAAAAGATAAAAAATACTTTTATGATAGCATAGAAAAATTAATTCATATATCTAATAAGTTTATTCAACTTAAGGAAGATTATATTAAAAAGAAAATAAGATTTATTGTTTTATTTTATTTAAAACCCTTTGATTCCACGAACTTTTGGACCCTGCCCCCTCGCCCCTTGTATATGTAAAAAAAATTTTTACAAATAAAGTTGTACTTACAAAAAAGGTTTTAATCACAAAATCTAATAGTCCACCAAATACAATTAACATATCAAATACATTCCAAAAATCTTTAAAATAATTCTAAAAGAAAAAAAAAAAGACTTATTTTTATATCTAATATTGTTTGTAATTTTATATTATTACAATTGTTTAATATATGGTTATAATGTTGTAATTTTTATCATAGTTATATTTTTTACTTATAACAATATATTTATTGACTAGATTTTTTTTAGATGATTTGAAACTCTTCAATGTACTTAATCTAAATGTACTTTTTTGATTTTAAACAGTTATATTAATTATATTAATGTGTAGACATAAATTTTTGCTGATTTATTTGATACTGATTTGAATAAAAAGTTGTTGTCTATTATTATTGAATGATATAAAATATTTTTCTTTCTTGTTCTTACTTTTTTATTTATATTATTAAATATTTGCCTTATATTGTACAATTATATTATATTATACAATTGAATATTTTTTTTTTATATCTGTTTTTTTTAATTGTTTAAATAACACTTTTAAAAAAGCTAATAAAAAGTTGTACTGTTTTTTACGGTATCTATATACAGTTGCTTTTTACGGCATCTATATATATTGAAATGTTGATAATAATTTTGAATATTTACTTTTTTTTTCCAACAAACTGCACAGACTGTTTTAAATCAGCTTATTTACCACTAATCTATATATCTCTAATAACTTCATAGACAAGTATCATTTTATAATTTTAAAGGTTAAAATTTTAATTTACTTTTAAAAAACTTAAATTACTTTACTCATCAACTTCAAATTTGTTTTGTTTTTGAAAAACAAATGTTCAAACTAAAAAAAAAATAATTGGTGAAAATTTGAACCTAACAGTCTTTATGGCTCACAATGAGGAGATACAAACAATAAAGTTAAAATTGAAAAAGAAATTATTATTGAAAAAAAATCTAAAATGTTCAAAAATGTTGTTTGAATAATTTGTGGAATGAGAACTTTTATAACAGTGATTTTCAAGACTTAAAAATCATAACTTAACTTTTTGTTTCTTTTATTTATTTTTTATCTAATTTTTATTTAGGAAAATTTTGGTGGTTTCAGCTTGTCACATAACACATAAATATATACAAGGTTTGATACATAAATATATATAACAAATGATTTATCTCACATAAATAAAGACAAATAATGGTGCAAGATATAATTAATTTTTAATTAATCAATTCAAACTATTTCAAAATTGTTGTCAGCAATTAATCAAATCAAAATTTCCATTACAAAAAATGTTGTCAGTACTTCTAGAGTTCTGAAAAACGTTGTGACAATCAGTGAGATTATCACAACTTTTTTAATTTGTTCTTTTGTTTTGTAAAAATTTTAATTTCAACAGTTTTCCTTTTATTTTTATTTTTGTTCCCCAAAATGTTTACCATATGGGAGTTTGTAATTTAAATTGGTTACAATAAGTCAAAATGCAAAACGTAAGAAATCAAACTTAAAAACTAAAATTTTTGATTTTTTAACAATTTTGAAAAATCTTACCTGTCCACTAGAAAAAGGTATCGTGCTCACTTTTTTTAAAAACTCCTTTGATTGCTCTGTCTCTTCCAACTATAACCCTGTTAGTCTTGGTATCGTCACTAGTAAAGTTTCTTTAATTAACATACCTTGCAACAAAGTCAAAAAATCCCTAATAACAAATAACCATATTTTGCCTAATTTTCTATGCATTAGATGAGATAAAGGCTGTTACTCTTAGCATATCAAAAGTGTACAATAAAACTCAGCATGCCTATAAAGACTTTTCGTAAAATGTATTTAGGAAAATTTTTGAAATTATTGAACCATTCCTTTCTAATCACGTTATTAAAGGTGTCTTTGAAAGATGCTCTCTTTCATTTTGTGGTATTATTTTGTAACAATACATCTATATATGTTTGATAAATAATCTTTTTGATCATATACAACAGACAGCCAAACTTGACTGTGATCTGTTATTTTCTGTGTTGGTCAACATGAAACTATTATCGTTCTCTTTGATTTTCTTCTTACTCCTGACTCCATTCTTCTTACTCATGACTCCATTCTTCTTCTTCTGACTCCATTCTTTTTCTACTGACTCCATTCTTCTTCTTCTGACTCCATTCTTCAAATTCTTCTGACTCCATTCTTCACTTATGACTCCATTCTCTACCTCTATAAATTTCTTGTCTGTCCTTGTATAAAAAAATGTCAAATTTGATTTTTTTTATAATACCCTTACTCTTTTAAATAAGGTTTAAAATGTATTTTAAATGCAGTTCAACCTGCTGAGTTAAACTAAATTTACCTGAGAAACTCAACCCTTTCTTCTATTTTTGAGCCATGTTCCATAGTTGTAAGGAATTATCTGTAAGGAATTTGTTGTATAATATTTTTTAACAAATATAATTACAGTCACTGCTCAAATGAGCATCTTGTTACACTTACTGAAACACAATCACAATGTGATTTGTCAATTTAGCAATATTGCATCCTTTAACTGCAACTGTTTCTTTATGCTCAAAAAACTTTTAGTTTATTTAGGAAATTTTTCACAAACATTATTATGCTGGGATTCTATTCCATTTTTATGTTAGTAAACAAAATATACTTATCTAACAAACAGTTTTTTATATCTCTGAAAAAAGAAAAAAAATTTTATATCAAACTTTTTAACTTTTAGATAAAGTGAAGATTTTGTTTGCTATCACATTTATCTATAGTTAGCAAAGATACTTTACTCAGTGATACAAAGCTTATTTAGAGAAGAATTAGATTACAACTTTATTACAAAAATTTATATTAAAATTTTCTTTATACTACAAATAATCTAGCCAAATAACTAACTAATAAGACATAGACGATATAAACAAAAAAGTAAACTTTAAGCTGATCAAAAGAATGTATAGCTTCATATATACTTTTTTCCTATAGTCCATTCTGTTGTACAGATCAGATAATAGTATAGGATTGTGGTGACCAGATATATTGTATAAAAATATATTAAAGATATAAAAACAAATATCTAAAAATACAAACATTTTTTAATAATATATTTGTCATTTTGTAAATATATTTTTCTACTGTTAAATTTTTGTTTGCAATTATATATATATATATATATATATATATATATATATATATATATATATATATATATATATATATATATATATATATATATATATATATATATATATATATATATATATATATATTTATATATATATATATATATATATATATATATATATATATATATATATATATATATATATATATATATATATATATATATATATATATATATATATATATATATATATATACATATATAATATATATAAATACTACGATCAATTGTTGTAAAAATTGTTTTTATTAAGTTTAACAATTAATTTTATATTATAAAATTTTATTAACTTTTTAAATAAAATACAAATTTAATTTAAATAAAATTTTTAAGTAATTAAATAAAATTTTATTAAGTTAAACAATTAATTTTATATATATTTTCATTAAAACAAATAAAAAGTTAAATGTTTACACATAGTTCAAATCGGTGTTTATGGGATTTAAAATAAGATTATGGAACTAATGCAAATAAAAAGTTACCAACTGTTATAGAAACTTAAAAATAACTTACACAACCAAGTGAAAAAAACTTAAGAGCGAATTCAAAGAGAAACACAAAAGAAAACACCAAACTGACTTTATTCATAAATACATTGTAGTTATCAGGTTCACCTTCATACTAAATAAAATAAGCAATATATTGCTTTTAAAACTAAAAACAACAAAAATAATAATAAGTAAATAATTGATATTATATATTGCATATGTAAAAACATGTATATATGTATATACACTGCCCGGCAGAAGTTTCCAGTCACTTGAAGTTTTAATAGTTTTTCAAATTTTAAAATTGTTTATAAATCATAAAATAATTCGAGTAAGATGTGCTAATTGTTAAATAAACTTGTAATAATTGATATTAAATTTTAAAATTGTTTATAAGCCATAAAATAATTCAATTAAGATGTGCTAATATGATTTTAATATTGAAATGCAAAATCTGTTTTCTTGGTTTTTGTATTATAAATATGCTCAAACATACTTAGTAAAGAATTTGCAAATAAAATTCAACTTTTTGTTATCAAAGCATAATTTCGTTGAAGTTAATATAATATATTGGATTAATAAATTAATTTAGTATATATTTATATAAATATATATTATTAATATATATAAATATATATTAATATAGCATAATTAAATTTCATCTTTTAATTTTCAGTGCATTTTCATTATTTTAATACTAAAATTTTAAAAAAAGAATTTTAAAAAAATTTAATAAAATGTCAAAGAAATGTAGTTTATAACTTGAAACACGTTCTTTAATTGTTGCTCTAGCAAATGATGGTTGTTCTATTAGATATATTCGAAAATTGTTGAAAAAACCAAAATCAACAGTGAGTGAAACTATTCGTCAGTTTAAATGCACTGGTACAAATAAAAATAAGAAAAGAACTGGATGTTCCTGCAAGACATCAAAGGCTGAAGACAAGTCAATTATACTCTCATGTAAATGAAATAGACAATTTTTTAATCGACTGTTTCAAGAAATAACATCAACTTCAAAACTGTTGCTTGAAAACTGTTGGCTGAAAAATGGTAGATTAGCTGTTTGAAAACCTCTTCTAAAAGCAATAAATCAGAAAAAAGAGGTTTAGTGAACGGAAGTATCCAAAATTCTTGCTTTTGGAACAAAGCAACGGATCTATGTGGGATGAACAGCTACTAAAAAATTTTATCCACAGTGTATACATGTTTGACTGCCAAAACTTGTTTGTGCAGTAAGGAAAGCAAAGGGTGGATTTTTGGATGAAAAAAATAATGAAACCATGCCTAACAATTGAACTCGTCATTTCGAAAAGGGCACAAGTCACACTTTTTTTAAACTTTTCAATGCAATTTTATTTATTCAAGTATTTTACATATTCCCTTTGAAGGAGAAACATTTTCATATGCCACAAGTCAACTTTAAATGCAAATAAAAATTAAAATCTGTTTGCAAATGGCACAAGTCCCAGACTTATGCCTTTTTCAAGTGAAACGAAGCGCAACTGTAGTGACGTAATTTCACTTTATTTGTAACAAAAATGGAAAATCGCGAATTTGCTGAAAATGCATAGATCAAGAAAAAGAGTGTCAGGTCTAAGAAACAGTGGAAATTATAAACACGAAAAAATAAAAAAAGCCAAAATGACTTTAGAAGCTTATAAAAACTACAAAGGAAATGATGTGGCACCAAGTCAAACGGGTGCTTCTTGCAGGTTAGTTTTTTGTTTTATAGAGTATGACTAAATTCACTCTCAAATTTTTGCTTATTTACTCATGTTTTACCACCAATTATTGAAGGTAAAACATCTTGATATATAATTATTATAATATTACCTCAATAGTTCTATTCATTTACAGATGTAATTCAAAGTGTATGGAGCTTGTATCTGAAGATTTTATAGAAAGTACAATTCAGTTTGTTAACAAATTTGATTGTAAAAATGCCCAAAACACATACTTGCAGCCATTGATTGAAAAGAAGGAAATAGAGAAAAGACGGTTTAGATCTAAACAACCTAAGAAAAAAGAATTTTCTTTTATTTATCACTAAAATTGATATTTATCATTAAGATTGAAGTTGTGATAAGAAAAATACACAAGAAAGCTTTTTGCTGTATGCATGGAATTTCTATAAAACAAGTTAGACGTTTATGCATTTTATTAAAAAAAAAAGAGCAGCCTATAAATCACAGAGAATCTCAGTGATCACAATGCAACGCATTACCTAGAGATACATTAACAAAGGTACGTGAGCATATCCAAACGAAGTATGTACCTTTGTGCTGAATTATAT